CAACAACATAACACGCAGGTGTTAACGAGGGGGTAAGGTAGTCTCCTTGTCACGCTCACCAGCCAGTTGTAACGACCTTAATCAATTACAGTAGCATATTTCACAGCAGGAAATAACAGTGACTTGTGTAAATCAAGGAGCATTTTCCTGCACAACTCCAGACTATCAGAGAATGAGCCACAACTATAACAAGAAAACTCTCAAGGCAACCAGTCAGCCCTGACTTGTCTTAACAAAGACCATTTGTATCAATTATTCATGGCTACTCACACATGAAACCATTATTACCTTCCTGACATAGAAAACTGGAATATGGTTGCTTTTAACGGTTTCAATGACAGGACGCCATAACCATATGATTCCTACTCAATCTCTTCATGTGCAATTTCATAAATATTTCATTGTGAAGATCAGAATATGCTGCAGAAATTACCAGTATTATTTAGTCTCAGCCAGGATTTCAGTCAGTGCATAACTAAATATTGCATCCATGGTTGTCTGATACCTTACATTGCAGGTTATTCAATATGTAATATTCATCAGCATCCAAGAGAGGTAGACACTGTGAGCTCATTATGGAGATGTTCATGCAACATTACTCCTCTTGCAGGAAAACATACATGGCAACTTTCAATAGTCTGAGAATATCGACCATTTTGAGTGAGTGAGTTGGGTTTAACGCGGCTTTTAACAGTATTCCAGTTATATCACGGCATGCCAGCTTAATGTGGGAGGAAAGCCCGAAGTGATGCAGGTCTGAGACGTTTACCACTTCGGTGAAACCCACGAGCACGGGTTTGGTGCTGACAAACCTAGAAACATAATTGGGGCGAACCGGGATTCGAACCCACAATCATAGGTTTCTGGCGTGCCCAAGGGACGCAACTCTGCACAGCGAATCGCGGCGCCTTAGACGACTGGGCCACCCATGCCCCCATCGACCATTTTGATGCAGATAGTGTTTGACTCATATGTAAAACTGTGTTGGCATTTAGTATTTTACACGACGCAGAAAGATGTTGAGAATGGATGCAGAAATAAGAATATGTTGCATCCTGGGGATGCACAATAATATTGATTGTATCAATTTCTTGACAAGAAATAAAGGTTCTATAATAACATGATAAAAGTCATTAACAAATCTTACAGTACACATCACTTCATTACGTATGCACTCGTGAAGATCCGGGGTAGAATAGGTCTTCAGCAACCCATGCTTGCCGTAAAAGGGGACTAACAGGATCGGGTGGTCAGGCTCGCTGACTTGGTTGATGCATGTCATCGTATCCCATTTGCGTGGATCGATGCTCATGATGTCAATCACTGGATTGTCTGGTCCAGACTCGATTATTTACAGACCACCATCATACAGCTAGAATATTGCTGAGTGCGGCGTTAAACAACAAACAAACAAACCTTACTTATGCCACAAAAACAGAACCCTCACATTTCCTGTAAGGACCCTTAACATTACTCATTGGGGACCCTAGTTTTGTAGGCCATGGTAAAATCCTGGGGATATGATAGTTCCATGAGTACAAGTCCACATCAGGGACCAACACAAGATAAACTGGTACAGAAAATACCCTAGACTAAAATCTAGTCTCTGAAATGAACATATCGTACATAAAAAAACCAATTGTTCAGTTATCTTAATAAAAATATAATAAAAAGGAGCCCAGTGACTCTCTTCAGTGATCTAGACTTACCAAACATTATAGACTTGCATGGGCTGTATTTGATATATATTTGTATCAGGGTCTGTAAGCATGGTAAGATAGACTAAAAATACCCATCTACATCGACACAACTCCACTCATAAATATCAAGAGGTTATCAAGCCAGTGTCCAAACAGCTGATAAAACTACTACCTCCACCATGGCCTGGCTGACTTCCCCTCCCCCTCCAGTCTCAACCAACCACAGGTCTACTGTACATACCATGCATGCCATCCCTGCTGTCCCCCTTAGGACAAGACCAAAGTCTGGCCACATGATTTATTGGTAAGCATAAATAGAATTTGTTTTTGAGGCTACAAACACGAGTTGAATGTGTTGTGAAAAAATAACAACACTCAATCACCATGTGCTTCCCAAACTAGCACAGACTCCCCAATAAGTTGTCTTTTTCTATGTTAACATTCATCATTTAGACCCTGCAGTGTGTGATCAGGTCACTGAAGCACTCTCCTCCACTGTGAATTAAGTCTAAAATATCGTAAGCCCTGCATACTACTCAGTAGGGGCGACTATTAGTCTGGAAATCACTATTCCGATAATTATTGATATTGAAAGAAACTATTGCGATAACTATTGATATTGCAAGCAACTATTGTGATAAATATCGATAGTTTTCAGTGTATCATTTTAGATGGATTTTTGAGTTGAATTATACCTTGGAACTGAAGTTTCCTTTGAATGTGATAACCATAACAACAAATATAAAGTTTGAGATATGGCTGATTTATTTTTTCTTTACCCTAATAATTTAAGAAAAAGAAACTTCCACATTACCATGTGGAAATTACTACCACTCATGGTCAAAAGAAAAACAAATTTGAACAGCATTGCATGTATTTTATTGAAATGGTAAATACAATCGAAACTATCAATATTCCTAACTGAAATCGATACTATTGATCGGAACTGATTTAACAATCGATTTATTGACTTTAAGTGCTTTAAGCAATATATCGATATTTGAATTTATCGTGACACCCCTACTAGTCATCTCTCGATAAGGTTAATCAGAGATGTATTTCAAAACACACTTGATCTATGAGATCAGTGTTGTCTGTCACGGAGAGATTAACATATCCCTATCTAAACTGAAGTAGTATATTACCATTTAATGGGACTTCAACAGCCAGCAGAATGTAAATGAACACAAGTCCTATTCATGATGCGTATTGTCCCACGTGATGCTCTGCCAGGTGAGGAATAGGACATGCATGTCACAACAACAGCCATCAGTTACTGGCAGACATGGGTATACCGTATTCGACGTAATGAGCGCCCAGGGCGCTCTCAAAATAAGAAATAGGGGGCTCTTATTGGAATATAATTTTGGTAAGAAAAAAAACAGAGTTGAAAGATCGTATATTTCTAGATTTATGTACCTGAAATGATACAAAAGAAAAGTCTGTGCGTATTATACACAACAAATATATTTTTCCAGAATTTAATTGCCCATAATTAAGGGTGCATGTAACACACGAGTGCGTATTATACACGATTAAATAAGTCTTGTGTACTTTGATCAATCGGAAGAGGTGCTAATTGGGATTGATCACTAGCCAATATATCAGCAAATATCACCGTGGGCGCTTATTACTTCGAATACGGTACTACATACCAGCCTTCGGACTTCCTGCTAGTCCCCGACTACTACACTGTGCTGAAGACAAGCAACATTCCAATGATAGTCCTCATTGATGAGTAGAATTTGTAGACTCTTATTCTGAACCAGTTCACTGATTATGCTTCCATTTGATACAAATTGTACCTGAATAAATCTGACAGGGAATGTAAACATTAACATTTGTATCTGGTCCAAGCTGTATTAGATACAAATATAGTTCCACCAGCCCTCTGAACATGTCTTAACAAAATTCTAAATTTTCCAAGGCTGCATTCATATACCATGTATACATGTTTTGTTCATTCTAGTTGTCGAAAGGAGTCGCAAAACTGTGTCATTTAAAAAAGAAGCCAACCACTTTTCTTGATACCAACAGTTTGTCCAAGATGATGCTAGCTAGATTGCTCTTTGACTTGTGGTTTGGCTCTTTGATACTCAGAATGTTTTAAGGAAATCTGACTGGGGCCATCAATAAATTGTTCTGAAATGAATACACTGAGATACTGAGGGGGTACGCTGGAAGAGAACTTGAAACATCCACTGATTTTCATGCACAAGCCAGCTGAGACAAGAGTGGGTAGTGTTTAATGTGTCCACTGGGAAACTTGTCACAGTGTTTATAGTAGTTATCTCGTAAGGAAAAGTAAGTAAATATGTGACAAGTTCTCATAACAGAACGGCCATTCTGGATCCTGGTTCTTCAACATCCTTGCAACACGTAAACTCACCCATCAATTCAGTAAACATGTCATGGTGAACATGATGAACTATCAACTAAGAAATGCAAAAACATGATCAAGCAATTTGGAGGAGAAAATATTTGACAGAAAGCTGACATGATATTATATCCCTGACAGCAAATGGAGTTGTGTTGTCAATTGCTCATATATCAGAATGTTAAACAGTGTGACAAGGTGCATCCAAGTTCATTCAAAACATTGGCCATAGCAATCTGATGTGTTGCAGTGCATGGGGGACATTCTCTACTACTACTGACACTGTCCCTGCTAATTTTAAGAACAAAATTGAGCATACACTTTTGTTTGTCGTATTTTTCTTTTGGCTCAATGGTTCAAGCACAAATATTTACACTCCTCGTTAAGGAGAAACAGAAATAGATCCTTATCTACCTTTGAAACTGGAAACTGAACATGTTGAAAATCCAACAGCAGAAAAAACAGTTTGCCTTTATAAAGTTTGAAATAACAAACGTTATTAAGACGTGTTAATACCGCAAATAAGAAACCATGATCCACAAACTGAAACAATGTCTTTCTTAAGTAACTGGGGACAGTGTCAAGTTGACATTTTCAAATTTAGAAAGAATGACTCGTCTTCTTATATTTAGCTCAAGTCTGCAAAAGGAGTGATGTCTTTTGGTTTTAAACAATGTACCCATCTCTCATATTCAAAGGGTAAAGTTCAACAAGTTGCTAATTACAAAACAAACATATTTCCTCGAAGCTCACCTGTCGAGCTCACGAATTCTTTCACACCTGTAAACTCCCTTTCAGGAAGTTGTCGACATCCGATGAGGATCGTCATTCCACCGCCTCGCGTTTATTCCACTAATATTACAAATGTGCACACGACAATTCTGAATATCAAAGTGAAAATATCTTTAAAAAAATATACTTACATTTACATCGACAGTAAAATCCGTGCCATCCAAAAGCATCACAGTGCAAGTCAACAAATTCTTCTTCTTGGCGGGGTGACCAAGATCCGTCCTATTTTTGACCCCTCTTCGGCTTCGTCGCTTGCTCAGAAAACGGAAAAAGGCCGACATATTGCTAGGTCAGTCTCAAACACACACTGGTAGCTCCTTAATTAGGCTTCATCACTTCATGGCCACAAATTACAAAATTGGTTTCCCTAAAACCCGCATGATTCACAGGACCCTTTCCAATCAACCTCACTGTCATCTCCGATATTTTCGCCATTGGAATTTCCTAACAACTGTTTATTTATACTTCTCTCAATTCGTATCGCCCTCTACCGGTCATTCAACGGAATGGTCTTGTGCGTTATTTACTTTTCATGTACGACAGAGACATTTGTAAGATTTAACAGAAAAACCTTCCTGTTTTCTATACATTAAATGCTAAATAATAAATGTGAAGTGATACTTTCTTTAGTGAACACTTTCGTATTGGTGTAGGTCACTCTGTTACATTGCAACTACATGTCAAGTTATCAATTTTTTTAAATGACAATTAATCTGAACAATCCAACTACTAACTTGTTATTCTGCTGCTATAGGGATTCTTTTTTAATACATGGTTTACATCGGTTTTTTGGCTAACCAATTAAATTCAAACTATTTTATATTATTTTCTAAGTGCGTTTGAAACCTCACCAATCACTCATCTTGTTCAATATTTTTCCTGACATTGGTTAATGATTTAAGATTGAATACAGTAAAACCTCTTTAATCTGGACCCGTTAGTCCTAAAATACAGCATATCAGCTGATTATTCTATTGACAACTCTATCTTGTAAAATCTGTGAAAGAATAGAACAAATACTTCAGTCTCCACTAGTTTAAAATATTATGTTTTAAGAAAATATAAAACCAAAATATGACCATAGTAGCAAAATAAGTTTGCTTCATAAACTGCCTTAATTGTACGTTTACATGTTAACATTTTAGTATTCATTTCACAAAGACGCTTTGCGAAGTTTTATTTATGCAGTGTTCCCTGAGATATAATGTCCTTAATTTTAATTTTGACACATAAATAAATCTAAAAAGAACATAGGAACATTTTGCATATTTCTAAAATCTGTTTGTGAAGTACTGTATACGTTATGAATTGCTTTCATTTAAAAAAAGTTACTTTTTGTTGGTATCGAGTTGAATCTGTTTGTTTTTGTAATCACTCATAAAAACGAGAAATTGAACAAATAGAAATAGATTTAAAATATTTCATTTTACGATTGTGGCATTATGCTTCAATTGATCGAATGTGAAAATATAAATTTAAAACAGTTTCACGTTTGTAAACCGTTTATCAAAACTGACAATGATTATTACAAAATTGTTTACATAGTAAATATTTACTTTCTTTTTCAAGTATATAATCTCTGCATTTAAGAAACATGTATAAAATACAAAATAACAAGCAGGAAATAGCGTAACCAACCAAATTCAACAGACAACCTCCTGTCTCAATTATGATATGTAATGAGTGCTATGGTAAGTACAACGATCCAATGTTTACGAAGGAAGTCGGAATATGACGGAACTTTCCAAATACGGAAGAGCACCGACCGGAAGTAACCTTTCAAAGGTTGTAATGGCAGCGCCCAGGCGAAACTCGTGTAAATAGCATTTTAGAAGGACTCTCGAGAACAATATCAAAGTAAGAGGTGATTTGTTTATTCGCGCACCCCAACTTCATTATGGTTCTGTTGAAATACATGGTTTAGAACTCATGCAGTGATCGAATCAATTTTTACGAACCTTTTAGAAAAGGAAAATGAAGAGAACTCGGTAGTTGACATTTTGTCCTTCATTGGCTTCAGTTTCTTGGTCAGTCAGTCACAGGATAATTCATTGACTTGTGTCAGTTCCAGTGACACTGGCAACTGTAATGTGTACTTCGGTTTGAATGTGCATGGGGCCTGTATAGTAACAAGACGACTGCCAAAAGGACTAAGATCAGAGATCACTGTGTGAACTGTTTGTGTTTGACACGGAGTGTGTTAATTGGATCTTTGTCTCAGGGATAACCACCAATTATCCCAATCAACACAGTGAGTGAGTTGTATGTTTGAAATGTATAATGAATGATTGCAGTGGGTTATCGAATGCTCAAAATGTTTGAATATGTGAAAATGGTGCTGTGAATAAATAATGATTGCTTTGAACATGATGAAAGTTAATTAAATGAAATGTGCTCAAAGTATATATGCTAGAATATGTGAATTTAGTGCTGTAGATAAACAATTATGAATATATATTTTGTTTTTAGGTAAATACTGGTTAATGCAATCCGGTGTCTGATACTGACTCATTTTAAATGCAACAAATATAAAAATAAATGGGTGTTGGTCCTTGAAATTTGAGTACGGATATCCAAATTTGTGTTTGAGTTGCCAAATAAGGTGTGAATGCTTAGCCATTTTGGGGGGTACGGATCTCTGGGGGAACGAATCTCTGTTGTTACAGATCATCTAGTATCCCACTTAGACTCTGAAAACATTTCTTTAAAACAATTCAATTTTTTAAAAAAAATTCTCTTTCCTTCTCTGCTGTTTTGTGGAATCAAAGATACCAGTCTTGGTTTTGTCTGATCTAGGCTTGCCTAGGCTTTTAGTAAAAATAATTTAAAAAGAAATTCCTTAGTCATTGCATAGGACTACAAGAGAAAGCACGTTTTTCATGACACCACACACACTTGGACAATTAATAAGAGCAACCCAATCTCAAGAACATCTCTTTCTGTCTAGTTGTTCATGAATAACTGAAAAAATATTAGAAAATTCCATATCAATGGCATTCATTGCCGGACCCACTTATCTATAAATAAATTTCCCCTGGTCTATAAATAAATTTTGACGTTCATGCTGGTGCACAAAGGAGGTTTAAATTGCCATGACGTCACATTCAAATAATGTTTTTATTTGAAGTTTACATGATGTATGGCGTTTCCATTGAATGAGAGGTCGGTCACATGACTGCAAAACTGAAGTTCATAAGTGTATGAATGACACATTTTGACATTCATACTTATTTTTACAAGACTGTGTTCTTGAAATGACATAGACACTGACGGACTACTTCCACATTCATGGGGAAACCCCTGGGAATTCCCTAGCACGAATAAATACAGAAGCATTGTTTCTCAATAATTAGACCCTTTAATCTTGAATTTTCAATGATCGAGCAATTGATCAGTGATGACTAACACTTGTAATAGCCACAGGTTCATGAACAACTTCTGTATGAGTTCACTGGAGTATGAACCTTCATTGAATGAGGGCCAAACATTGTATGAACGTTTTCGCAAGCCCTGACGTTCATACAGCTTGACCGTCACTCTATGAAGGTGAAGCACAAAGTGAAAGTCAGTCCTTAAATAACATCCCTCATCGTGGAGACTGAAGTTGGTCATCTGCACTGTGTACACTCAAGACACTGGTTATTACTGTTTACAAACTGAAAAAGTCAGAAGAATGATTTTGGATAATAAATAGAATCTCACCCTTGTGTCTTTTGATATCAAATACATCAAGATGAGTCAATAAAAGTTTAAAACTCAACGGCAAGCCTCCAAGTTCTAAACTTATATGTTTTGGGAGCTTCTCTATGTATTGTAATGTTAGGGTTGTGCAGTTATTGTTGACTAATGATTCCAACAATGACATTAGTATTTTGTATCAAATCACATGAAGATTCTGGGGTAGAATAGGTCTTCAGCAACCCATGCTTGCTGAAAAGGCGACTATGCTTGTCGTAAAAGGCGACTAACGGGATCGGGTGGTCAGGCTTGCTGACTTGGTTGATGCATGTCATCGATGCCAATTGCGTGGATCGATGCTCATGATGTCAATCACTGGATTGTCTGGTCCAGACTCGATTATTTACAGACCGCCATCATGTAGCTGGAATATTGCTGAGTGCGGCGTTAAACAACAAACAAACAAATCAAATCACCTGTCATGCTACATGTATTGTTTCACCTGTGAAGATCTGGGTTAGAATATAAGTTGTAGCAGGATCACGAGTGGTACAAGGCGTTTTATGCACCCTGAGTTAGGTTTTATATAACGAGCCGGCATTTACATTTACAGCATTTTTATTTATATAATTATACCCCCTTTTACGAAGTAAATCAGGGGTATAAAGCGTTCCGTTCGTCCCTTCTTCCGTCCATCCGTCCTTCCATCCGAGCTTTTGTACGGCCCTTAACTTTTTATCCATGCACCCTAGCTTCACCGAACTTGCTACACACATTGACCACAATGAGTACTTGTGCCTTTTGCTAGTTTGAAGATTCTGAACTTTTTAATTTTTGCCGTTTCCATTGACACATTAAGAAACTTAAACTTTTAGGGTGGATGTTTTGTACGACCCATATCTTTTTAACTATGCATCCTAGCTTCATCAAGCTTGCTACACACATTAACCACATTGAGTACTTGTGCCTTTTGCTAGTTTGAAGATTCTGAATTTTTTTATTTTTGCCGTTTCCATGGAATCATGGTGAACCATAAATTTTGGGTAGAGTTTTTGTACGATCCATGTTTACAATATTATGTATCCTAGCTTCAGCAAACTTGCTACATTAACCACTATGATTGTTGTTTTTTTATCTTTTATAAGATTCTGAAAGTTTTCTCTTTTGCTGTTTCCATGGAAACATGGTGGAATTTAGAAATTTTGATGACTGGTTTTTTATAGCTAATATATTTTCAAAAATTGTTTCCACACATGTAGGTCATCATAAATATCTCTGCTTTGTGTTAGTTTGAATTTATGAATTCTTTACCATATCTGTTAAGGCTAGATGGAAATTATTAATTTATTGATTTTCTAATATGATATTGTTCCATTTTTTATGTGTTTTTATAACAACAATTTTTGGTCCTTTTGATAATTCTTCTTATGTAACTCCTCAATCAAATTTTTATTCAAAGGTGTTCATGGTGACCTTCTTCCTCGTAGTGAACACTGTTAACATGTGAGATTCGGGGGGTCAATTGTCACTGGAACTCAATCTTAGTTTTTAAAACATTGAAGTTAAAATCAGTTAGAAATATGTAATATTTCATTAATTAACAAACTATTTACTATTTGTTGTTGACCAGCGGGGATAACTGGGGCATGTGAGCTTTGCTCACTCCTTTCTTGTTTTAATTTGCGAGATTTTATTCCTAAAACTACACCTTGGAATAGGCTTTGACGACATGAAATAATATTTATACAAGTACGTCGTGGTAGTTGTAGCCTCAATACAGTGTTCATGGTATCTATTGTCTTTATACTACAAAATTCTGGTTTATAAGCATGATAAGTACAGCGGATAAGCAGGATGAGGATGTGATGCTCTACCACAAGATCACAGAGGCTATCAGCAGGATGAGGATCGATAACATGGATGTTGAATTTGTTTCTTTCCTTTTCAAAATTGGAGATTAGACATCCATACTGAAGTGTGATGTTTTGTCCACAGAATGGCGTTCCTGGGTGCCGTGCGGCAGAACATGCAGTACATTGCTGCAGTGGGCGCCGCCGTGCTGTACGTGGGGAAGGTGTATCCCCAGGTGTGGGGAATCCGGCGCTACCTGGAAGCTGTGCAGCTCTACAAGGACGGGCTCCCAGTGCCGCTTGATGCCGACTCTAAGAGAATCGGACAAGAGGTAACTCCAAGACACCTTGGCTCTCTAGATTGGGAGTGATGGCTCACAGGAAGTTCTTTTGTTTGTTTGTTGTTGCACTCAGCAGTGTTCCAGGAATGTACCCAGGCAGCAAGCCTGACCACCCGATCCTGTTCGTTGCCTCTTACGACAAGCTAGTCGGCTGACCTTGAGTTTCTGTTGGTCGTGTGTGAGCTGACCTTGACTTCCTGTGGGTAGTGAGTCAGCTGACCTTGACTTCCTGTTGGTCATGAGTCAGCTGACCTTGACTTCCTGTTGGTCCTGAGTCATCTGACCTTGACTTCTTGTTTGTCGTGAGTCAGCTGACCTTGACTTCTTGTGGGTTCTGAGACAGCTGACCTTGACTTCCTGTTGGTTGTGAGTCAGCTGACATTGACTTCCTGTTGGTCGTGAATCAGCTGACCCTGACTTCCTGTAGGTAGTGGGGGGCATGGGTGGCCCAGTCGTCTAAGGCGCCGCGATTCGCTGTGCAGAGTTGCGTCCCTTGGGCATGCCAGAAACCTATGATTGTGGGTTTGAATCTCGGTTCGCCCCGATTATGTTTCTAGGTTTGTCAGCACCCTACCGGTGCTCGTTGGTTTCACCGAAGTGGTAAACATCTGAGACCTGCATCACTTTGGGCTTTACTCCCACATTAAGCTGACATGCCGTAATATAACTGGAATACTGTTAAAAGCGGCGGTGACCTTGACTTCCTGTGGGTCGTGAGTCAGGTGACCTTGACTTTCTGTGGGTAGTAAGTTGAGCTCCTGGGATGCTTGGTGGAGGCCTTGACCAAAGGGCTAGACAACAGTGGTTGATAGCATGAACAACACACCTTACCACTGACCTACACACACATAACCCTGTGAAGATCTTGGTTTGAGTAGGTTTTCAGCAACCCATGCTGTCATGAGGCGATTAGCTTGGGTGGTCAGGCTCTATGAATTGGTTGATTTCATGTCATTGTATCCCAATTGCATAGATCTGGGCTCATGATGTCAACTGATTATTTACAGACCACCGTCATATGGCTGGAATATTGTCGAGTGCAGCATTAAACAACAAACAGATTGAAGAAACATGACGGGTTGTGTATTTTTCAGATTCTGACCAACATGAAATTGGATCCTGTCTCCGAAGCCAGTGTCCGGTTCTTCACCGTTTATGGACAGAACCTTCTCAGCAAGGGTTCTACCAGTACCAAAGATGGCGCCATTATTGGTATTCCCATCAACTTCACATACAAGTCAACAAGGGAGATTGAAAGAAACAAGATTACCCTGAAAAATGAAGCCATCGATTGGCACTCCGACTCTGGATCCTCTCTGCTAGACTCGTTGATTTTCAGTGAAAGTGCACGACGTTTTGCCGTCGCTCGAGAACTGACATCCGTCAACACGTACCATGTGCACACACAGGCCATACTGCTCTCTGGATTCTTCTCAATTGCTTATTGCACAGGTTTTGTGTTTAACAAAGTTACCAATTTCCACAAGAAGGCGCCGTTACCGGCAAGAATGGTTGCCTATAGTTTTATCGGCTTTGTCGGTGTGACCTTGTACTATTTAGGTCTGGACACATATAATAACTACACAGACCGAAAAATTGAGAGACGGACAGCATCTCTGGGGAGGGACTATGTGGAGGGGGGAATTGAGTACTACAGCCAGCTGCTGAAGAGGAACGTTGCTCTGCGGTCATTGATGAAGGAGGAGGGCCCAAAGATATACACAGCGTACGGAAACACAGTGCACACGTGGCGAAGTCCCCATATGCCGCTCTCGGCAAGAAGAGACAATCTGCTGGCAATGTTGAAAGCTCTCGATGCAGAGAGCAAGACTGAAAAGAGTTCCTAGAACTGTGCATAGGAAATTCAATAAATACATATAAATTATATAAATAATTATAAGTGATTTGGCTTACAATAAGTTGTTTGTCAGGGTATCAGGCCTATTTCACCCGTTTAGCAGACACTATTTTTCATATATGCTGTTGCAAAAACTGTCTGATGCCTTTGACAGTGAATGAATTTTAATTGTATATAATAAGGCATTTAAGATCAGTGCACCCATGGAAGAAATCAAACTTTGTAGAGACAGTTTGGAATCATTTGAATATACTTCTTGATATCTCAAACGTCCAACTTTCTTTTCCTTTCAGGCCTCTGAATACACTATAATGTAACTGAAATACTGTTCATAAGCATGAAACCAAACTTACTCACTCACTCAGTGATTCAGTCTACATATATCTGCCCACACTCGTCTAGGGTAATAAGTGTTCCAGGCTGTTCCTCCATGAGCCTAAATGTTGCTGGGGGCACGGGTGGCCCAGTCGTCTAAGGCGCCGCAATTTGCTGTGCAGAGTTGCGTCCCGTGGACACACCAGAAACTTATGATTGTTGGGTTGAATCCCGGTTCGCCCCGATTATGTTTCTAGGTTTTTAGCACCATACCAGTGCTCGTGGGTTTCACCGAAGTGGTAACTGCATCACTTCAGGCTTTCCTCCCACATTAAGCTGACATGCTGTGATATAACTGGAATACTGTTAAAAGCGGCGTTAAACCCAACTCACTCACTCGCTAAATGTTGCTGAGCTGTGTGCCCTGTAAACCTGGTGTCCTTGACACTCATCTTGCAGTCATTCTATGGGACTTACAGTTTAAAAAAGGCAGATTTCACAAAATAAAAAGAAAAAAACATAGCTAAATGGATAAAAAGTCCTATTGACGGACAGCAAAACGCTAAATGTTGCTGTGGAAAATAATTACCCTGAAGTATGTCATCATATGTCAGGTTGTTTTGTTCAGCAGTCAGTGATTGTACCATGGATTTAGTGTTTGGAGGAGCGGTGGGGTAGCCCAGTGGTTAAAGCGTTCGCTTCTCATGACGAAGACATGAGTTCGGTTCCCCACATGGGTACAATGTGTGAAGCCAATTTCTGGTGTCCCCCGCCGTGAAATTGCTGCAATATTACTAAAAACAGCGTAAAGCTAAACTCACTCCATCACTCACTCACTCGTATTGGATACTGACCATGACCACTGAGGGTTTCAGTTGTGCTGATTCGGCACTCTGGCTGGTGGCGGCTATGACTGGTGGCAGTGTTTAAACTGTATAGAAATAGCCTTAGGACTTTATAAGATGCACCTGTGAAGGTCCTGGTTAGAATTGGTCTTCAGGAAAATCATGGTTGTTGTAAGAGGTGTCTAACGGGATAGGGGGCGGTTGGGTAGCCCAGTGGTTAAAGCGTTCGCTCGTCATGCCGAAGACCCGGGTTCGATTCCCGACATGGGTACAATGTGTGAAGCCCATTTCTGGTGTCCCCCGCCGTGATATTGCTGGAATATTGCTAAAAGCGGCGTAAAACCAAACTCACTCACTCACTAACGGGATAGGGAGGTCAAGGTCGGTGACATAGTTGGTGTGTGTCATCGTATCCCAATTGCGTGGATTGATGCTCATGATATCAATCTCTGGATTGTCTGGTAGTATTAACAGGGGTGACAATGTTCCCGTGAATGTTAGTGACCACAAATTTGTTAAAATCTCATGGCTTTCCCCAAAACACCCCCAAATTATGGACCACGCTCCATTGCAAAGATATTTCAGCTGAAAAGGAAAATATCCATTTTCATCCCTGCATTAAACAACAAACAAAATCTTTTCTCACAACAAGTGATGTAGGAGGGAAGATCATGTTTCAGTTATGGCAACGGTGGAGCTGATGCAGTTGAATCAAAGGCGGCCATGGTGACCGGAAGAGAGGTGTCAACTACATTTCATATTTCCATTGGTTCATTCACTGTAAACGTGGTAGGGGAAGTTGTTTTGGCGCTTTACCAGGAGAAAGGCCCCGTTCGATTCCCGTTGTATTGCTAGAATACTGTCAAAAGCAGTGGAAACCGATGTTATGTTGCATAACAAGTTCCCCTGCGGGTAGGGAGACCTGTGAAGATCCGGGATAGAATAGATCTTCAGCAACCCATGCTTGCCGTAAAAGGCGACTATGCTTGTCGTATATATGCGACTAACGGGATCGGGTGGTCAGGCTCGCTGACTTGGTTGATGCATGTCATCGATCCCAATTGCGTGGATCGATGCTCATGATGTCAATCACTGGATTGTCTGGTCCAGACTCAATTATTTACAGACCGCCGTCATATAGCTTGAATATTGCTGAGTGCAGCGTAAAACAACAAACCAACCAAACGAAGCAGGTAGGGTCATAGGTGGCCCAACTGCCGAAGGCACCACAGGCTGCTTCTCAGAGTTACGTCCCTTTGACATGTAAGGAACAGTGGGTTTATATCCTGCCATGGACACTTAATACGATATTTAGGGTCCATGATCCTGCATTTTGTCCAAGCTTTGTCGGCACCATCCATATGGTTTCATCAAGTGGTTAGTCTTAAATGCTAGAATGCCATATCGATACCCATAATGTGACTACAGTCCGCTTGACATTGAGCAAGATTCTGGTTATGGCCAATTGAAGCACCTGTAAAATATGTTTTTCCTTTAACAAATGAACCACTCTACATAGTTGATTGGTTGGTTGGTTTGTTGTTTAACGCCGCACTCACAACATTCCAGCTATATGACGGCGGTCTGTAAATAATCGAGGCTGGAACAGACAACTCAGTGATTAATTTCATGAGCATCGATCCACGCAAATGGTATCGATGACATGCATCAACCAAGTGAGCGAGCCTGACCGCCCGATTCCGTTAGTCGCCTCTTACGACAAGCATCGTCGCCTTTTACTGCAAGCATGAGTTGCCGAAGACCTACAACGCAGTTGACATGTGCACATATACGGCCAGGCCTCTTGACTTGACTTGGTTATAACATACCGGTACACGACTGACTGAGTACGTGCACTTGAGACCCGTAACCAGCCGCCATAGAATTGGTCTTCAGCAACCCATGCTGGTATGATTCTTCTATATCGAGTGGTCAGGCTCGCTGACTTGTTTGATGCATGTCATCGTATCCAAACTGCATGGGTCGATGTTCACTGGACTGCCTGGTCCAGACAGACGTCACATAGCTGGCATATTGCTGAGTGCGGCGTTAAACAACAAACAGACTGTGCACTTGCTATTTTTATGTATCTCAGATCAAATATCAATAACAAGGCGTTACATTCATCATCCAAGCTTCATGAAAAATAATATTTACACGTCAACATGGGAACTGCGACACGAGTGAGTGAGTGAGTATGGTTTTACGCCGCTTTTAGCAATATTCCAGCAATATCACGGCGGGGGACACCAGAAATGGGCTTCACACATTGTACCCATGTCGGGAATCGAACCCGGGTCTTCGGCGTGACGAGCGAACGCTTTAACCACTAGGCTACCCGACCGCCCCGACTGCGACACGAAACACAACAGATCATATATTGTGTTGCGCCTGGTCACTGTCGTCCGGTGTCGAGCACTCGTTCATTAGTCGGGGAGTTTCGTGAAAAATTGTGCACTTTGTGATAAAAGCATGAAACATGGCACAGTTGTAGGTGATGGCATTCCAAACAATTTCAGATATGGGGCCACACAACATAAATCCAATATGGCCGTCAAATCCAATATGGCCACCATGGAGGAATTGACCCTATATCTGTCACGAAATGGCTCCACTAATTAGGGCGGGACATCGAATATCACCAGCTGTGGTTGAGTGAACCTAATCAGTCGACTGTCCCCTATGGCTTGAAGCCAGACTTCCTCCGCCTTGCCCACTGGAACCATGGGGTAGAACGCCTGACAAGCATCTTCTCGGATGTCTGCTTCAATGGGAAGTTGATCTGGAGAGTTGAAGTCACTCCCTAGTCTTGTGGAAAGATTGTGTACTCTGAATCTTTATGCATATATGTTGATATGAAACGGATGAGGCGGTCTCACGGGTCTCGTTTATTTCTAGTTCAGGTGGGTAGATCAGTGGAAGGGAATCGTCTACTTGGCTTTTATTCAGCGATAACAGATCATCAGTATTCCTGAAGCTTAAGCCAAATTCTCTTGTTTTTATTTTACCAATCCGAGAAGAAATTCTAACTCTTATGCATAAAGACACAGATGAGCCATCTTCCCGAGGCAAGAGAGTTAACTGACTTTGAAAGTCCAGTTACCACCTTAGCCGAACTAGGATGGAATTACTGTGCTCGATCGTAGCGCCACCAGTGGCTATTTCCAGTTATGTCCCTTCTAAGCCTCTCCTATGGACCAATCAGATTCCACCTCTCGTATCACTTGCGTTTGCTTCACACAAAATGGTGATCTGATCTGATCGATAATCAAGATCTATATTGTGATTAAACGGGTCTTACGTCGCGAAATGCATCAAATCATGTGAGCACCTTTATTAAAAACATGAAAAAAAATGGAAAATATCTGCTGACAGCGAGCTGGCGGTGCACATGCTTTGCAAATCCTGAAATCGATCGAAATCTGCATGACAGTTTACGAACCGGATTTCGATTTCGGTGCGCAATTTTGTTTGGACTATGCATAGACTCGTTTGACTCCAGCCAAAATGTAACTCCATAATACCAGCCTAGTTCGGCAAGGGTGGAAAATGGACTTTTATAGTTAGTTAACTCCCTTGCCTCGGGAAGATGCAGATGAGCAATGAGAGAGCACTATTGGTGCCTATGCTGATGCCTACTTCTTGCCTAAAAGAATGAAAGCTAAGATCAGATAGATTTTATATATAAATGGGATAAATATGCATCTGTCCACAAGTTTATCTCTTTAACTGTATGTGAAGTGCGCTTTCAATTTGTGTGTATATTGCCACTTGTTTGTATCTTAAGGAAGATCAGTTTATTGATCGTTTCATTGTCATATACTAGATATACATTCATATCAACAATGTCTAGAACATAACATTAGAAGTGTAGCTTTAAATTAAAATCCAATTACTGAAATTACATGTGATCAATATCGTGCTAATCTCTTCTACGAAGAATCCATTATTTAAATGTAACAAATCTTTAATTTTATTCACTTATTAATTAATACTCAATACAAAGTTTAAAATGCCTTTTGGAAAACATTGTGTACTTAAATATCCCCTTATTGTATCATTTTTAATAATGCTCCAGCCTGAAGCACATGTAACACATGTGGCG